GGGGGGGGGGGGGGGGTTTAAAAAATTATCCATGTCAACCTTCAGATTCCCCTTAGTCTAATCATGAGATAGGAGCAGCAGTTCAATATGAGGGAAAAAACTGAAGTGTGTTAATGCAAACAAAGATGCTTCTACATACAGAGCCTGCCTTTGAGATCAAATACACATTTGTGATTCCCCAATCCCATTTGAGTTCTAACATTGCGACCCTGGTAGGATTCAAAAACTTGACTAGTTGACCTTCTGGCAACAAACTCCAGCAGTTTACTGATCATTATGATTTCTAGCACATCAAGAGTTAGCTTGTGAACACCTTAGTCTGGGTTAAAGAAATGCAATCTCTCTCACATTCCTTTTCTTCTCCACCAATCATTAGCAACTGGTACTCGTACTGGAGAAATCTTGAGGTGTTTAAAAATGTTTCTTCACAGTTCTCATTGGTTGAGAAGTGATAAATTCCTTTCAATTTTTTTAATCTCATGTGAGTTTGAGAAAGAGGATGTAAAGCTCCTCTGAACCACCATGGAGCTAGTGTATTTGTTCACTCTGGACGTGACCAAAGAGTGGTGTCTGCTGACTGGTGATAGTCGATGTCTCACATCACAACCACCACTCTCATAGTTACCCAATTTTAAGATAATTTGGGTTGTTATTAGCGGACATTACGATATTTTTACAATATTTTCCTCAAATTTACAAAGATATCTTGTTGATCTGAGCATTTGTGCGGAAAAAAAAAATGAATGAGAGGTTGCACTATGAATTAAGAGAGAAGGAGAGTGGGATAGAAACACGCCAGTCACCGTGATGGATGGGGGAACAATGGGAAGAGAGAAATGCTTGCAAAAGCAGAAAATGGTAGAACAGAAATAATAATTAAAAGCACGGTTCTAATCTAGACTGACAAGACCAAGATGTAGAACCAAACATCTAAGTCATCCCATAATTACGAGCACAACATAGAAAATGAAGCAAGTTATTTACTTGAAGTCAATTTGATATGGGGCCATGGAAGTTTATTTATTTATTTTTATATACTCGGATACGATTGACATATAAATCCACAATAATCTAGAGCCACCTTGGATGACATCATTCTTAGCTTTGGCATGCTACTCTATCCTTGAGGAAAGTATTGACAGTACAAATTAAATTGAACATTGAAATCCTTTAAATGAAAGAAACATGCCGAACATTCATTTGCAAGTATCGTTCAATAAGAAAAATAAATTCTTCCTTTCAATTCCCTCATGTATACATCAACAAACTGACGAGTCACCAGATACCTATTGTTAACCACATTGCCCAACAAATGTTCCCATTCCAAGACTTATAGTGGTTTGTTAGTGTATTTAGGGCATATTTAACTATGCACCAAATTGGTGTTTGCAAAAATCCACTCCAACCATGCACTAAAACTCTACACCAATTTGGTCATTTGGTGTGATTTTTAGAATTTTTCATAATTCCTATTTTACCCTTCATTTTGCACTACAATAAATTTTAATTCCCATTATCTCCTCTTATTATTTAATGATTTAACTTTATTTTAATTTGATTATTATTATTTATAATTAACATTTATACTAAATTGTAATCAAATAATGCCTTTTTTCTATTCATTAATAAATGCAATATTTTAGTTAATTAAATATTTAATATTTAATAATTTTGGCACTAATATAATTTGTAACTGAATAATTTTTGGAATAGGTTATTTGTTGAGAAATAAAAAATAAGGAAATAAAGGAAACACTGTTCACTTGGTATAATATTTGGCGTAATGCTTGGAGATGACTTTGCAAAATGGCGTGACAGTTGCACCAATTAGATGCTAATGGATGTAGATGGCCATAATGCAAACATGTAGACAGATTTAAATTGAACATTGAATCCTTACAATGAGAGAAACATTGCAAACATTCATTTGCCAGTGTCGTACAATAAGCACAAGAAGTTCTTCCTTTCGATTCCCTCATGCATAAAACCACAACTCTGACGAATCACCAGAAACCTATTTTAACCATATTGCCCAACAAATGTTTACAATTTGAGACTTGTAGCTGTTTGTTTGTGTAGTTAGTGCAAACAATTAGACAAATTTCCTCTAGGAAAATCATTTTTACCACACTGGCTGGCTCAAGAAAAATTCACATATTCAGTCTTGGGCCACCTATCAGTAAATTTACTGCCACCCGGAAAACAATGATCCCTACTTTGTACATAATTTCTACTAAAATCATAGTTTAAAGTAGAAGCAGCAACTCTTCGTACCTTTGCCAAACAAACCTATACACCTCGCTATTGTAGTTAAAATTCGGACAAGCATAAAATTCCCACAGAACATCAAATCACTCCATTACAAAGCCCAGATCTTTACATCCAAAAACGTATGTAACAAACTATGTACACGTGAATAAATATCAATTCATATATAATACATACCATGTTTCTGAGCAGCACAACGCGGGTGGGAGTCCCATTGAAATTGACACTCTTAACCTTTTTGTTTGAGTCGCTGGCGTTCACAATAACCCCACCTCTCTTATCGGTCCTCTTGGCCATCAAAGGAGTGGTGATCCCCTGCTCCTGCTTCCCCAATCCCTGACCTTCCTTCCACCCCATCTTTGCCATCATCCTCTGTGCCGCCGTCATCTTCCCCTCCGCCCCCACACCCAAACCCCCACTCTCTGACTTACCAATGCTAAACCCTTCCCCAGTCACATTTGCCGATGGTGGTGATGGCGATCTAGGCACTCCACTGCCACCGCCACCGCTCATTGCTGCCCTCCTCCGCCACGCCTCCTCTCCAGATATACTCAATTCCCGATCCCTGTCACGCTCTCGATCCCTCCTTTCTTTCTCTTCCCTTTCCCTCTCTCTCCTCTCTCTTTCCTCTAATTCTATCTTCATCTCCGCCTCGGCTTGCTTCCGCTTCCGCTCCCGGCAGTATTCCTCGTAATCATTGGGCCGGGCCGGGTCGTATTCTTCGATTACGGAGCTTGTCACGCCGACAAGAGCCGGCTGAAACGAAGCCGTGGCAGGACTGAGGGTGTACTCGTCAGAGATGGAAGAAGTGGAGTGAGTTATTGGCCCCTTAGAAATGGTAGGATTCGGCTTGGTCTTCGGCTGCTGGGTCCTGAGAATGGTCTGAGGTGGGGGGAAAGGTTTCCTTAGGGTGGGTGGAGCCATCTTGGCGCTGCTCGACCAAACATTAGTGGTGGATGTAGTGGTGGAGCTGTCATCCGTGGTGGAGGATGGTGGCGGGAGATCTCCGTATAAGCCGCCCAGCATTTTGTGCAAGTAGCCAGCGCCTCTCTCTTCGTCGGAACTAGGGTTTGAAAATGTGCGAAAATAGTTTACGCTCTAAAGCGTAAGGTCAAAATTGTGCGCAAAGAATTACACAGTTAAAAAAAAAAAAAAATTGGATAAAAAAATTTACCCTTTTTCGATAAATGATAACGTGACGTTAATAACCCATTATCCATCTGTCGGCAACTGCAATATTGATTATTTAGGAAAATTGCAGTATTCTCCCCAACTCCTGCACTTTTTACACTTATACCTCTAACTTTTGTTTATTGACAGTTTGTCTCTAAAGTTCCATTTTTTGACACAACGTAGTAATGATGCCGTTGGTATACAAAAGTTGTATGCATGCCTCACGCCATAAAAAAAGGTAATAATATTAATGCCTAGACATCATGTACACTTTAAATAGATCGAATACATATTTTTAGAGTGTGATGTCTACTTGAGAATTTAATTCATGTGTTCGCACGAAAATTGTTATGAAAAACTAGAAACGACAAAAAATAAAATGTTGGATATATCAAAAACAAAAGTTATATGAAAAAGCGGATTCTAGATAATGATATCGAAATTTTTTAACTCTCCCATTTGCTAGGGCAATGGAGATATATG